TAGAATTAAGGAGAAACTTCCTGACAGTTAGAACAATTAACCAGTGGAACAACCTGCCTCCAGAAGCGGTGAATGCGCCAACACTGGAAGTTTTTAAGAAGAAATTGGACAGCCATTTGTCCGAAATGGTATAGGGTTCCTGCCTGAGCACGAGGTTGGACTAGATGACCTCCAAGGTCCCTTCCAACTTTATCACTATTATTATTATTAGGGGACTGGAAGCTAAAACATATAGGGAACAGTTGCTGGAATTGGGTATGTCTAGTTTAATGAAGAGAAGGACTAGGGATGAATGATAGCAGTGTTCCGATATCTCAGGGGTTGCAACAAAGAAGAGAGAGTCAAGCTATTCTCCAAAGCACCTGAAGGCAGGACAAGAAGCAATGATGGAAACTAATCAAAGAGAGAAGCAACCTAGAACTAAGGAGAAATTTCCTGACAGAACAATTAGTGGAAGAACCTGCCTCCAGAAGTTGTGAATGCTCCAACACTGGAAGTTTTTAAGAAGAGACTAGACAGCCATTTGTCTGAAATGGTATAGGATTTCCTGCCTGAGTAAGGGGTTGGATTAGATGGAAATGGTATAGGATTTCCTGCCTGAGTAAGGGGTTGGATTAGATGACCTCCAAGGTCACTTCCAACTTTTACTATTTTTATTTTTATATTATTATGGATCATCACAGTCAGCCAGATGTTCAGATTGGATTTGGCATTTTGTCTACCTATCGAGTCCTTACCAAGGACCTGGGATAGGTAGGTGTGGATGTTTGATGGTATTACAGATATCGTCGCAGGATGGAAGCAGTTCCTAGTAAGGCTGCCTTTTGCAATTGACTAATAGCGAATTTGTCAATGCCAATGGTGTTCAAGTGGTGCTCCAGTTGTTTTGGGATTGCACCCAAGGCGCCTATTACTATTGGTACTACCCTTGCTTGCTTTTGCCACAGTTGCTGCAGGGTTAGACAAAGAGAGACGGGGCTGGGAGGGCCTGGGTTTTGCGGCCTCTGAGGAGGTAATGCTACATTATTATTATCGATCATCGCACAGTCAGCCAGATGTTCAGACTGGATTTGGCATTTTGTCTACCTATCGAGTCCTTACCCAGGACCTGGGATAGGCAGATGTGGATGTTTGATGGTATTACAGATATCGTCGCAGGATGGAAGCAGTTCCTAATAAGGCCGCCTTTTGCAATTGACTAATAGCGAATTTGTCAATGCCAATGGTGTTCAAGTGGTGCTCCAGTTGTTTTGGGATTGCACCCAAGGAGCCTATGACTATTGGTACTACCCTTGCTTGCTTTTGCCACAGTCTTTCTATTTCTATTTGTAGGTCTTTGTATTTTGTTATCTTCTCCAGTTCTTTCTCGTCTATTCTGCTGTCTCCAGGCACTGCCACGTCCACTATCCAGACTTTTTTGTCTTTCTTATCGACAATTGTTAAGTCTGGGGTGTTATGTTGCAGGTGCTTGTCTGTTTGAATTCTGAAGTCCCAGAGCAGTTTAATTTTATCATTTTCTATGACTTTCTCTATTTTATGATCCCACCAGTTTTTGCTTACAGGCAAATGATATTTTTTGCAGATCTTCCAATGCACCATTGTTGCTACTTTGTCATGCCGCTGCTTGTAATCAGTCTGTGCAATCTTCTTGCAACAGCTTACCAAGTGGTCCACTGTTTCTTCAGCTTCTTTGCATAGGCGGCACTTACTGTCTGTTGCTGTCTTCTCAATTTTGACTTTGTATGCATTTGTTCTTAAGGCTTGGTCTTGTGCAGCCAGAATTAGTCCCTCGGTCTCTTTCTTCAATTTTCCTGCTCTTAGCCATTGCCAGGTTTTATTGTTATCTGCTTTCCCAGCTATTTTTTTCATGTATTGGCCATGTAGTGCTTTGTCTTCCCATGCCTCTATTCTGTTCTTCATTTGGTCTTTCTTGTAGGCCAGTTTGGTCTCTCCAGTAGTTAGTAAGCCTTCCTGATATACTAATTTCAGTGCATCTTCATCATTGTTCTTCAGATATTCTTCCAAAGCCATTTTTTCTTCTTCAACCATCTGATGTACTTGTAGCATTCCACGCCCACCTATTTGCCTTGGTAGATAAAGTCTATCAATGTCACTGCGTGGATGAAGGGCATGATTCATTGTCATTATTTTTCTGGTCTGCCTATCCATTGCTTTTAGTTCTGCTTGAGTCCAGTCCACTATTCCAGCTGTGTACCTAATGACTGGGATTGCCCAGGTGTTGATTGCCTTTATGGTATTTCCTCCATTGAGTTTGGATTTTAAGATCTTCTTCACTCTCTTGATGTATTCACCTCTAATCTTTTTCTTGACTTCAGTGTGCTTGATGTTGTCAGCTTGAAGGATACCCAAGTATTTGTAGTACTCTTCCTCATCCAGACTCTTAATGTTATTTTCGTGGGGCATCTTGATTCCTTCAGTTTTCACTATTTTTCCTTGTTTGATAGTAAGTGTGGCACATTTGTCCAAGCCAAACTCCATTACAATATCTTGGCTATATATACGGACAGTGTTGAGCAGCGATTCTATTTCAGATGATGTTTTTCCATACAGCTTCAGATCATCCATATAAAGGAGGTGGGATAGTCTGGCAGATGTTTTTGATGTTTGATAGCCATGTCCTGAGTTATTCAGTATTGTTGACAGAGGAAACAGTGCAATAACAAATAGTAATGGTGATAATGAATCTCCTTGAAATATTCCTCTCTTGATATTAACCTCTCCCAGCCTCTCACCATTGATCTGCAACTGTGTCTTCCATTGTGCCATCGATCTTTGCACAAATTTTCTGATGTTTCTACTGACTCCTGTTATTTCTAGGCACTTGATTATCCAATCATGTGGCAGAGAGTCAAATGCCTTTTTGTAGTCAATCCATGCCACATTCAGGTTGGTCTTCCTTCTCTTGCAGTTTTCCAAGATCATTTTGTCTATTAGGAGTTGATCTTTTGTTCCTCTGCTGTTGGGGCGGTTTCCTTTCTGCTCAGGTGGAAAGAGATTGTTTTCAACTAGATGCTGTTGCACTGCATCAGCTACTACACCAGTTAGTAATTTGAAAGTTGTTGGTAAGCAGGTAATTGGCCTGTAGTTACCTGGTGTTGCCCCTTTTGCTGGATTTTTCATTATTAGGTAGGTTTTCCCAGTTGTTAGCCACTTTTCAATTTCTCCTCCTTGTAGTATATTGTTGAACTGCTTGGCAATGAGTGGGTGTATAACAGTTAGATGTTTCAACCAAAACCCATGCAGTTCATCTTCACCTGGTGCTGACCAATTTTTGATTTTCTTTGCTCTTTTTTCTACCATTTTTGTTGTTATTACTAGTTCTTTCATTTCAACTTCTGTTTTATTTGCATCCACCTCTTTTAACCAAGCCGCATCCTTGTTGTATTTCTTTGGGTTATCCCATATCTGCTTCCAGAACTGCACTGTTTCTTCCTTGTCAGGTACTGACTGATTCCTTGCAGTTTCTCCATTGATGGATTGGTAGAAACGTTTCTGATTGGATTGAAATTGGAGGTTCTGCCTATAGTTTGCAATTCGAGCTTCATATCTACTGATTTTCCTGGCTATAGCTGTTATTTGTTGCTTTATTATTTCCAGTGCTTCCTTGATCTTCCTTGTTTCTAAGTGGTATTTCTTGATTAGGTATTCTTTGGTCTTCTTGTTCTTCAGCTTCTTTTCTTTCATCTGTTCTAGCTTGCTTGCATGTGATCTTAACTTGCTGATCTTATTTTCTAGTCTAACCTTCCATTTTTCTGGTGCACTGTTTGTTTGTTTTTCTTCTTTGTTGATTTTGCACCCCAGGTATTCTGTTATAACTGCAGCTGTGCTGTACATTAGTTGGTTTGTTTCTTGCAATGAATTGGTGCTTATACTTGATATTGCAATATTTGCATCTTTTAATGCTTGTGCTAGCTGTTTCTTTGGAACAAGCTTCAATGCAGGTAGCCTTATTCTATTGTTTTTGTGCTGTTCTAGATGCTCAGTTATTCTTTGTTTCAATTCTTTTATTTCTTTAGTTAGAGGGTTTTGTTCTTCCTGAGGTAGAGGTGCCTGGTTTCCAAATGAGAACAGTTGTATATCTCTGCTAGATTCCTTCACTGCCAACTCCCCCTGGTTTGCCTCTACATTCTGAATTACTTCTGGTAAGGCTTTGATTTCTTTGCCCTGGGTAAATCTTTGCAGTTCGTCCAATTCTGTTTCTGTGAATACTTTATTTCGTGTTATAAATCGGCGTTGATCTGCTAGTCTCTGTTCTGTTATTTCTGATTCTGGATGTTGTTCTTTCCAGAACTGGTGCATTCGTTTTAGATATCCTCTTCTTGTTGGACTTGATCTGTAGTAACAGATCATTATTTCTTTGTTTTCCATCACTGTGTATCTGCGACGGGTAAACACCTTTTCTTCCAGTAGTTCTGCAGCTGCTGGCCCTGGTTGCTCAGCCAACAGTCCTGAGTCCTGTAACCCATTTTTCACCAGATATCCAGGAACTCCAATATCTAGCGCGGACCTTGTTAACCCGGGCGACGTCCGAGCCGGTATGGCATTCTGAAATTTACGTCTCACCATATTTTTTATGGGAGAGACACTCTTTGTCTGACTCCTCTGATGAGACCTGTCCAGTATGGTTGAACCTCTGGCATAGCTCTCATCTTCCTCAGAGTACACAAGCCCCACAACCACGTCAAGGTAGTGCCTCATTATTATTATTATTATTATTATTATTATTATTATTATTATGGATCATCGCACAGTCAGCCAGATGTTCAGACTGGATTTGGCATTTTTTCTACCTTTCGAGTCCTTACCCAGGACCTGGGATAGGCAGATGTGGATGTTTGATGGTATTACAGATATCGTCGCAGGATGGAAGCAGTTCCGAATAAGTTCCTAATATTATTATTATTATTATTATTATTATTATTATTATTATTATTATTATTCCTTTCCCTCAATGATGCAAACAAGCCCAGAGACCCAAGTATAGTAACTATGAAATTTATTTTTTATTAAAGACATTTAGATTAACCCAATAAGATAATGAAGTAAAACAATATGAAACATTACTTAGTACATACATATGTTGGTTCTGAACTTAGTATATATTATGGCCTGCCATGTTTCTGACAATCACCCTAATTTTGTTGTTCTGAAAAGGAAAGATATTGGATAGCTAAGACAGAAATATATTAATAGTCCATTCTTTGATATACCAGGTGTTTATAACTGCATAGAACAGTATTTTGAGAGCTATAACTGAACTCTCTTGGCAGCTACACCCAGTCTAAACTTAGGAGGTTCAGTAATGTATCTCGATGTCCGCCTTTGCCTCAGTGATATCCTCCCTACCTGTCTTCCTTCAATAAGCAACAGAACATACGTTATAACAAAACAAAGCCAAAAACAGTCCACAGGAATCCTACTGGCCAATCCAAACCATTCTAAAGGACTGATCGAAAATGTAGATAGCTCTGCAATATGGCTAGTCAAGACTAAAATGACTATGTTGGCTGTATCATAAAAGATTATCCAAGCAAAGTATATATAAAGACCTACAGTTTTTCTCCTATAGATACAATATAAATAATAGAAACATATAGGATAGGTTATAAAAGCCAAACCTATTGCTATGTAATAGCAATATGGAATAATCCAGATTAAGCCTTTATTTTTAATACTTGCCAATTCAGCTAATGCAAGGCTTAGGTGTCGAAACTCAAAGATAAGATACATATTGGTCATTAAGATCATGTACACACCAGCAACAACTGATCCTGCTTTCGGTGTTATGCCACAGATGCCATCAGCAAACAAGGGAAAGATTATATGTGGATTAATAATTGCCTGAAAAACAAAGAAAATATGATCACTTTCACATAATATGGAAATTACCAGAGCTACATAAAGAAATCTAGGGAGAAAAATTAAATATATGTTAGAATAAAAGGTAAAATGTGAGTTGCATATTTGTTTTATATGCATTCTACTGTTCAATGTTTTTCCAAATGGATGCCTTTCAACAGTACAATTTCTATCAAGTATGGTAGCCAATATTATCCAATCTATTTGGAGACTGCTACTAGGGAAGTATTTGATGAATCACACTAAGGTAGATTTTAATTATGATCAATAAGCGACAATTGATTGGTTGCCATATCTTAAATCTAACAATTATGCTTTAAAAACACCTGGGGTTGCACAACCTTTTATCAAAATCAAATAAATCATGTTATGGCTCAACAGAATATATGAGTATACTATTTTTCTGTAGGTTTAAAAATTGTAATCTTTACTTGTATCATTTTTTCACACAAATGAAGGTGAATATACGTATCCTAGGATAATGTAGGATCCAATCTGGGTCGGTCACCGGGACCAGAGGTTTCAAATTCCAAGCTTTTGGACTTGTGCTTGGAACTTCTCTCTAGCACTACTTTTTCACAATTTAAACACGTTTTCTCCATCATATGCCTTTAGATTTGAGACTTTAATGCCCAGAATTTCCAGCCAGAAATATTTGGGAATACTGAAATTACACTTTCAATAAAACTAGGACAGCATCATGTTGGAAAAGGCTTGTGTAGCAGAAGGGCTGATACTATCATTGCTGCTTTGTTGTGTCAGAGAAGGGCTAGGTTGCCTGATTGTGCCCATACTAGATATGAAGGAGGAAGAAATCTCCACTAGTTGTCCCCAGAGATTCTGACACTATCCACCTTTTGGTCCTGCTTTCCTGCACGATGTAGTTGTTGGTAGGCCTGTTAGATTAGCCCATTCCAAATGATGAATCCAGCTGGATTCTAGAGGGAGGCTGGGATTTTCCCCAATAATCTGGTGGGTAATTGAGCTGAAGCTTTAGCTGCAATCTGGAATGGGCAAATGGAACAGGTTTCAACCTGATTGCCCTTGTGTGGTCTCTCCCCCTGTGTTGATCCCAATGTGACCTTTATTTGAAGAGTTTTGAGAGATGAAACAAAAGGAGAGATGTCTGGAGAGCCACTCTAGGAAGATGAAACTGCCCAAGCAAAAGTAAAAACCCATATTATGGATTACATTGTGGCAATAAGGGCAGTGAATGATTGCTATTTCTCCATGTTTTACACCTGCTGATAGCTGTCCAACAGCCCTATTTAAGATCTGGTCCCTCCTGGGAAGGTATGGACTTCAGATGTTGAGACTCTAGAAAGAGTACAGAGAAGAGCAACGAAGGTGATTAGGGGACTGGAGGCTAAAACATATAAGGAACGGTTGCTGGAATTGCGTATGTCTAGTTTAATGAAGAGAAGGATGAGGGGGGACATGATAGCAGTGTTCCAATATCTCAGGGGCTGCCACAAAGAAGAGGGAGTCAAGCTATTCTCCAAAGCGCCTGAGGGCAGGACAAGAAGCAATGGGTGGAAACTAACCAAAGAGAGAAGCAACCTAGAACTAAGGAGAAACTTCCTGACAGTTAGAACAATTAACCAGTGGAACAACCTGCCTCTAGAAATGGTGAATGCTCTATCACTGGTAGAAGAGACTGGACTGTCTGAAATAGTATAGGGTTTCTTGCCTGGGCAGGGGATTGGACTAGATGATCTCCAATGTCCCTTCCATCATCATCATCATCATCATCATTATTATTTTCTGCAGGGCTGCTGTGACTCCCTCAGACCCACTCAGAGTTTGAGTGGATTTGTCTGGATAAGTCCGGATGAGATCCCTGAAGCAATGTTTTGTGGGATTATGTAGAGACAGAACCCTCTAAAAACAGGGTGTTATTTATTATTAAATACAAACCTACAAGCACAGCACATACATTTAAGTCATTTGCCCAAAATCAGCAAATTTCATAAGTGCATGAGGTCAAAAAAAACCCCACAATTACATGAATATTTCCGATATGTTTTGTCATGCAAGATACATGTAATGACACTTTCTCTTTTCTGTTCCAAGGGTACTTTCCTCAACATTTTTGGCAACTCAGAAAGAATGTATGGAAGGTTTATACTTCTGCTCATTCCTGATACTTAGCTGTTAGCCAGAATTATGCTATCTACCAGTATAAGTCGTTTATATCAAGCTCTTGTTGATGACTCATGAAGTAAACAAATAGATCATACAGACTGAGAGCTATCCTAACTAAATCAGGGTTAAGCATTGCTCAATACACCTAATACTAAACAGAATTCTTGTAACTTTACAGGACAAATAAAAATATATTTTGAACATTGTATTTGAGCAGAGCTGTTTCATCAAATTTCATCACCTGAAATAAAAACACTTTTCCTCAAATTCAGAAACTACAGGGAAAAAACCAAGGGCGTAATCCATACTATCGAGGCACGATAGTTTATAGGATCACAAGCTAACCTCTGGGACACTTTATCTTAAGTCAAACGTAAGTCATCTAAAAATCTCCAATTTATAAAAATCCAATAATCCCGATGTTTGACAGTCACTAATTATAAAAGATGTACCGTATATGCCGGCGTATTAGGCGACCCAGCGTATAAGACAACCCCTGTCTTTATAGCCGGGCCGCATTCCTAGAACGTCGTCTTATACGCCGGAAACTACCAGTATTTCCGGCGTATAAGACAACTCGGCGTATAAGACGACCCCCGTCTTTGGCGCCGATTTCAGCGCTCGCGGAAGTCGTCTTATACGCCGGCATTTACGGTAATTCCAAAATATCTGATGCCCTGTCCTAAGTGATCTCCTCCCAGAACTTTATAGAAATCTGCCTTGAGGGACATATAACAATTTTTAAATTTTTTAAAATGGATGTATGGCTCAACAAAAAATAAAATTTCAATCTACACTTTGTTATATTTATATCCAATGGGTAGGTACTCTGAATTGCAAACTGCATTAAAATCTTATAAAAGCTTCACTGCAACTCTCACTTGTTCTTCTGATTTATAAGATAAAATCATTACAACTCATATTTTTAAAACGAACTATGCAATATTTATATTTTCAGTCTAGGCTTGGTTAATTACAACTCTGAATCTAACAAACTAGCTTTTAAAAATGTAAATGGAATCAAAATCATTAATATCCCTTACTATGGTTCTCATTCTAAGATTATTCTTATTCAGATGTCCAATGGTGTCTATGCATTCCAGAATTTTTACTGATATATGTGTATCTGCTTTCATTAATTTCTTGCAAAATTAAAAAAAAATTCTCACCATGGTAAGTCTGATTCTATTATCAGAAAATCATTATTTATCAGATCCTAGGTATTTCCTTTTTTGGATTACTTAACTGCTGGATTAAAGAAGCAGAACACCATCCTTAGATCCTTTCTGTAAAGGAAGAGAAAAGTTATAAAGTGAAAAAACATGTGATCAGTTCTGGCACACACTCATTAAGTGTGACATCATGTGACTAAAACTTACAACTTCTTGCCAGCTATCCCATATTATTATTATTATTACTGATCATCGCACAGTCAGCCAGATGTTCAGACTGGATTTGGCATTTTGTCTAGCTATCGAGTCCTTACCCAGGACCTGGGATAGGCAGATGTGGATGTTTGATGGTATTACAGATATCATCGCAGGATGGGAGCAGTTCCTAGTAAGGCCGCATTTTGCAATTGACTAATAGCGAATTTGTCAATGCCAATGGTGTTCAAGTGGTGCTCCAGTTGTTTTGGGATTGCACCCAAGGAGCCTATTACTATTGGTACTACCCTTGCTTGCTTTTGCCACAGTCTTTCTATTTCTATTTGTAGTCTTTGTATTTTGTTATCTTCTCCAGTTCTTTCTCGTCTATTCTGCTGTCTCCAGGCACTGCCACATCCACTATCCAGACTTTTTTGTCTTTCTTATCGACAATTGTTAAGTCTGGGGTGGTATGTTGCAGGTGCTTGTCTGTTTGAATTCTGAAGTCCCAGAGCATTTTAATTTTATCATTTTCTATGACTTTCTCTATTTTATGATCCCACCAGTTTTTGCTTACAGGCAAATGATATTTTTTGCAGATCTTCCAATGCACCATTGTTGCTACTTGTCATGCCGCTGCTTGTAGTCAGTCTGTGCAATCTTCTTGCAACAGCTTACCAGGTGGTCCACTGTTTCTTCAGCTTCTTTGCATAGGCGGCACTTACTGTCTGTTGCTATCTTCTCAATTTTGACTTTATATGCATTTGTCCTTAAGGCTTGGTCTTGTGCAGCCAGAATTAGTCCCTCGGTCTCTTTCTTCAATTTTCCTGCTCGTAGCCATTGCCAGGTCTTGTTAATATCTGCTTTCCCAGCTATTTTTTTAATGTATTGGCCATGTAGTGCTTTGTCTTCCCATGCCTCTATTCTGTTCTTCATTTGGTCTTTCTTGTAGGCCAGTTTGGTCTCTCCAGTAGTCATTAAGCCTTCCTGATATACTAATTTCAGTGCATCTTCATCATTGTTCTTCAGATATTCTTCCAAAGCCATTTTTTCTTCTTCAACCATCTGATGTACTTGTAGCATTCCACGCCCACCTATTTGCCTTGGTAGATAAAGTCTGTCAATGTCACTGCGTGGATGAAGGGCATGATTCATTGTCATTATTTTTCTGGTCTTCCTATCCATTGCTTTTAGTTCTGCTTGAGTCCAGTCCACTATTCCAGCTGTGTACCTAATGACTGGAATTGCCCAGGTGTTGATTGCCTTTATGGTATTTCCTCCATTGAGTTTGGACTTTAAGATCTTCTTCACTCTCTTGATGTATTCACCTCTAATCTTTTTCTTGACTTCAGTGTGCTTGATGTTGTCAGCTTGAAGGATCCCCAAGTATTTGTAATCTTCCTCATCCAGACTGTTAATGTTATTTTTGTGGGGCATCTATTATTATTATTATTATTATTATTTACTCTGGGTGTCTTAAAGCATAATAGATTAAAAACATTAAAATCATTGGATATAAAATGACAGAGCAAAGTAAAATCATTAACACAAGATAGAGAAGGATACATGGAGGATACATGGAGCTGGATACATGGGGGGGGGAGTGGGATTAGTTTTTAACTAGTCAACCACCTCCAGTATGAAACTCCCCCATTGGGACCCCAAGCCATTGGCAGAACCAGGTTTTAAGACTCTTATGGAAAATCAGGAGGCTGGGAGCCAATCTCACCTCAGGGGGTGACGTGTTCCAAAGGGTAGGAGCCATGGCTAAGAAGGCTCTTTTTCTGGACCCCACCAGTTGAAATTCCTTGACTGATGGGATCTGCAGTTGCACCCTCTGCCAGCAGTTGGGGCAGGCCAGTCCCACTGGGATGAGATGGTTCCTCAAGTAACCTGGACCCATGCCACGAAGGGCTTCATAACTGATTATCAATACTTTGATTTGCAAAGCAAACCAGCAACCAGTGCAGCTTGCAAAGCAGTGGTGTGACATGAGCCACAATAGGGTCTCTAAGAACTGCCTGTGCTGCCACACTCTGCACCAGCTTATCTGAAGCCAGCAATGAAGGTCACAAATAGCAATCAAGTGACCCATAGGATGCTGCAACTTCATAATTGCATGCCAGTTGCCAAGTGCCCAAATTACAATAATCTGACTGCAGGGACATTATAATGACCACAACTTCAAGAATTGGTTTTAAATATCCTTGTTTAGCACCATTGTAACTTTGAACAGTCACTGGACAAGTGCTTGGTAAGCAAGGACTATCTATATATTTATTTGCACAACAAATTAAGAAACATTTTATTTACTTATTTGGGTTCATACACTGCTCCAAACCCCAAAAGACTCTGAGCAGATTAATATATACCCTCTAACAGTAAGGTTCTAAATTATTTGAGTAACCTCAGTGCTCTCCCCAGTCAAAACTTCAAACCAAGCAATCAAAAACCAGAAGTTGTTGAAAGAAGACAGTATGGATAATATGCAGCTTGTAGAGGAGCTGATTGATTTGAATAAAGACAGATAATACAAAATTGTAGTTCTATCATTTGATATAAAAAACCTTTTGATAAAATTCAGACACAATATGTATGCTAGATAAATTCTGATTTTCCAAAGGGTTTATAAAATGATTCCAGATTTGGGATATGGCCCCTGGATTGACGATAAAACTCACTTGTTTTTTTCATATGCACAAGTAGGGTGGCAAGGCTGTGGGGGGGGGTGTTAAAGAGTACAAGATCTCTGGAATCTCACGCTCCTCAGCAACCTCCTTGGAAAAGAGATGGTGGTGGCGCCTTTGCTTTTGGGAAACTGACAGGATCATAAATGGCAATCATGTGACCATTGCTCACTGAGCTGTCATAATTGCAAGCACCCAAGCACTCAGATTACCAATACATGACCCGGGGAATGCTGCAGCAGCCACAACTATGCAGACTGGTTTTAAATCCGTGCTGTTCAGCACCATTGTGACTTTTAATGGTCACTGAACAAGCAGTCATAAGTTGAGAACTATCTGTATACTGTACTATCATGCATAACCTTTGACTTATTTCAAATTTCAGATGGCTTCTCTTATCATATATTCTTCTTCCTGGACTCTGTTTAGGGTTGAAAATATAAAAGATTAAATGTATCTCCTATCAACCATTATATAATATATATATATAGGTCTTTGGTTATTCGGGTTTTCTCCCGCGTAAAATTGGAAGTGTCTTGGCGACGTTTCGACGAAGTCCCATTCGTCATCTTCAGGCTGGTGTTTTCAGCTTCGTGCTTTGAGGAGCAATGTATGATCTTAGCTGTTTCTTCATTTTAACTGCCAGTGGGGGTATGAACTGATTGGGTGGGAGCTTGGCTGTGTTCTGATTGGGTAGAGGTGTGTTCTGATTGGTTAGGGGCTTGGCTGTGCTCTGATTGGCTGGGGGGTTGTCTGTGCTCTGATTGGCTGGGGGGGTTGGCTGTGCTCTGATTGGCTGGGGGAGTGTTCTGTTTGGGTGGGGGCTTTGTTGTGCTCAGGTTAGTCTGAGTTGCAGGGGGATTTAAAATGGTGAGCTGCATTGCTATTTTTTGGCTTCGCGTTTGTGGTCATGCCTCATCTTTATGGTGGGTGTCAGTTTGCTTCATGTATGGATTGGAGGGATTTAAAGTGGATAATGATGCAGCTGTGGTCTGACTTCTGGTCGTGCCTCATCATCGGTGTGGCTTTGGGTTTGCTTTTTGCGTGGATGTGTGGTGGTGACATCCTGTGTGGTTTTTGTAAGTGTGGGTCTGGTGTCATTTTTTGTGTTAGGGAGCCATTTGTCAATAAAGGAGGGTTTCCAAATGGCTGGTAGGCAGGACATATCATCTCATTTGTTCATGCTGTGTGGGCGTTTTTCTATCTCGATGGCTTCTCTGATTATTCTGTTATTAAAATGTTCAGTTTTGGCGATAGTTCTGGTATTTTTAAAGTCAATTTCATGTCCTGTGGCTTTAAGGTGTTGGACCAGGGAAGATGTTGGTTCCTCTTTTTTGACTGAGTTCTTATGTTCTTCAATGCGTGCACTTATTCTTCTGTTGGTTTGTCCGATGTATGTGTTGGGACAAGCAGTGTATGGGATTTCATATACTCCTTGATTTTCTAACTCAAGTTTATCTTTGGGGTTTCTTAGGATGGTGGATATTTTTCTGTTTGTGCAGAATGCTGTTTTGATGTTGTGTTTATGGAGGATCTTACTGATTCTGTCTGTGGTGCCTTTTATGTATGGGAGGAGGGCTTTGCCGTTTTCTTGTTCTCTGTCTTGGATTTTAGTGGGGGTTTCTTTTGGGATTAGGTTTGTAATCTTATTTCTTTGGAATCCATTGGAGGTTAGTACATTGGTGAGAGTGTGTAGTTCGGTTTTTAGGTGTTGTTCGTCAGCTAAGCGTTTTGTTCTGGAGATGAGTGTCTTGGCTACGGAGTTGATCTGTGCTAGGTGGTGGTGTGAGAGAGCGTGCAGATAGCGGTTTGTGTGTGTTTTCTTCTGGTAGATGGTGTGTCCTAGGGAGCCACTGGATTTCTTGTAGACTAAGACATCCAGGAAGGGAAGTTGGTTATTAGCTTCTGTTTCCATGGTGAAATGTATTTTGGGGTGTAGGCTGTTGAGGTGTGTGAGGAAGAAAACACACACAAACCGCTATCTCTCACACCACCATCCAGCACAGATCAACTCCGTAGCCAAGACACTCATCTCTAGAACAAAACGCTTAGCTGACGAACAACACCTAAAAACCGAACTACAATCCCACCCAATCAGTTCATACCCCCACTGGCAGTTAAAAGGAAGAAACAGCTAAGACCATACATTGCTCCTCGAAGCACAAAGCTGAAAACACCAGCCTGAAGATGACGAATGGGACTTAGTCGAAACATTGCCAAGACACTTCTAATTTTACGCGGGAGAAAACCCGAATAACCAAAGACCTACATACAAACATCTGCGAAAACCTTAGAAAACACACACACACACACACACACAAACATATATGTAGGTCTTTGGTTATTCAGGTTTTCTCCCGCGTAAAAATTGGAAGTGTCTTGGCGACGTTTCGACGAAGTCTCATTCTCCTAGAAGCATGAAACCGAAAACACCAGCCTGAAGATGACGAATGAGACTTCGTCGAAACATCGCCAAGACACTTCCAATTTGACGCGGGAGAAAATCCGAATAACCAAAGACCTATATATATATATATGTACAGCAGAGGTTTTCCATTGCCTTTTTCTGGAATTTTTTTTTTTACAATTTCTTAATATAACCTATAACTCTAAAATGTCCGTAGTCTCCCATTCAAATATTAACAAAGCCTGAATCTGCTTAACTTTTTCCAGATCAATTATTCAAAATGGAAACCAGCATTTATCAGAGTATCCATATTTGCATCGAGAGTTAGCCAGAATCTGCTTCATGTCTTAGCCCTACTTCCTGTGACCAGCAATTTGCAAGAATGGATCAGTGGCTGAAAACTGTTTCACTGAAATGGTAACACAAATAATGTAGCAGTACCCTGCTGACATTTCGTCGAAACATCGCCAAGACACTTCCAATTTGACGTGGGAGAAAACCCAAATAACCAAAGACCTACATACAAACACCCGCAAAAACCTCAGAATATATATATATGTAGATCTTTGGTTGTTCGGGTTTTCTCCCGCGTAAAATTGGAAGTGTCTTGGCGACGTTTCGACGAAGTCCCATTCGTCATCTTCAGGCTGGTGTTTTCAGCTTCGTGCTTCGAGCAGCAATGTGTGGTCTTAGCTGTTTCTTCATTTTAACTGCCAGTGGGGGTATGAACTGATTGGGTGGGAGCTTGGCTGTGTTCTGATTGGGTGGAGGTGTGTTCTGATTGGTTAGGGGGCGTGGCACAGCCCTGATGATGTTTGGAATTTCCAAACGAAAGCTTGGCAGCTTTTAGTAAAGTATATTTTTATATTTATACTCTCCTGGTGTTCGTATATATATATGGTTAAAAAGGTTAAAAATATGAACCCTGGGAGTATACATGGTAAAGAAATAAAATGAACACCAGGGTAATAAAAACTGTAAAAGTTTTTAATTAATTAAAACTATAAAAGTTTAATTAAAAGCGCCAAGCTTTCGCCGTCACCTGCCGGCATCTTCAGGGCTAGCGCGCCAGAGAATGAGGAAGTCCTTTATAGGCGTGTCAAGGTTCATTTTATTTCTTTACCCTATATATATATATATATATATATATATATATATATATAGCATATGTCCATGTACAGGTAGTCCTCAACTTATAACCATTTATCTGGTGACAGTTTGAAGTTATAATAGCACTGAAAAAAGTGACATGACCATTTTCAACACTTATTACAGCATCCCTGTGGTCATGTGATAAAAATTCAGATGCTTGGCAACTGGCATGTATTTATGACAGTTGTAGTGTTCTGAGATCATGTGACCACCTTTTGCAACCTTCTGACAAGCAAAGACAATGTGGAAGCCAGACTCACTTAAAAACTGTATTACTAATTTAACAACTGCAGTGATTCACTTAACAATTGTGGCAAGCAAAGTCATAAAAGTCATAAAATGGGGTAAACTCATTTAACTGTTTTGCTTAGCAATGGAAATTTTGAGCTCAATTGTGGTCATAAATTAAGGATTATTACAAGTAGTTACAAGAACAAGAGAGTTTCCTTTTACAAGGGAGCTACTGTATGTAATGAACCAGTGCCAGTTTGATGTACAGGTAATCCTCAACTTAAGAGCAGTTGCTTAGCAACCATTCAAAATTATGAAATAATTATTTACATCAAAGATTTAAACTTCCAACCGCCAATCCCAGCAGACACAATTGGCTTGCATTCATGGCCCTTTGCAACACCCATTCACATCACTGGGATTTAGGATATTTTAGTTGGAAACCGGCATTTACTTCTGGTTTCTGGCAAAAAAAATGCCCCATAGCAGAGAGTGGGTTTCCTTAATGATCACTACAAAAATAGTTGTAAATTCAGGCATGGTCACTGGCAACCCACTTAGCAGTCATGATTTACAAGCAAAATTGCAGGCTCAATTACACAGGTAAGTAAATCAAGGATTACCCATAGTGGTTAAGGCATCAAACTTGAAAATGGAAGACCTTAATTCTAAACCTGCTTTATGCACAAAACCAGCTAGACCTAGGTCCTAGGTGATCTTGAGCCAGTCATTTTTTCTCAGCCCTAGGAAGGAGGCAATGACAAACCACTTCTGGAAAAAAAAAAACCTTGCCAAAAAACTGCAGGGCATCTCCAGAAATTGAATATGATTGAATCTGCCTGCCTGCCTGCCTGCCTATCTATCTATCTAAACACGTATCAAAACACGAATTATAGTAAAGTTTGCACCTATTTTTTTATTTATATTTTTACTTAATTTGCTGCACTGTTTATCTCTAGGTTTCAAAGCGCGGGGTGTGTGTGTTAATTTCAAATTTATGTACATTCAAATGCGACTATATGGCCAAATAACCGGCGCTTTTTTGTTTTTCTTTTTAAAAAAGTCAAGCACTTCCTGAATACTCAATCGATACCTTCTTTGAGTGACTTTCTGTAGATCTGTTTTATACACAACTCTTCCCTTCCCGCGCCTGGTTTTGACAGTTAAACCGCCCTTCCCGCGTCCCCTTCCCTGGAGCGCATGTGACCCGCCCCCCCCCGTCCCCCTCCATGCTCTCTCTTTCTCTCTCTCTCTCTCTCCCCCCCCTCCCCCCGTTATCGCTTGTGATCTCTTATCCCGCCTCTCATTCTCTGGCATGTTTCTGATTCCTCCGGTTTAGGTTTTTCTTCTTCCCTTCGTGTTTCACGTGGCTCTACAGATGGGACTCAGGATTGGTCAAGCTTTGGGGATTATCCGTCAAACAGCCAATGGGTGTATTCTGCCCGCCCGAATCCAAGATGGCGGCTCTGGGGACTGGCAAAGGGACCCCGGGAAGGAGGAGGTGAAACGGTTTCGGCCGGAGGATTCGGGCCCCATCGCTCCGGTTTGTCTCCTCTCCCTACCGGGCCAGCGAGGGTCTCAGCCTCTGTCCGAGGTATGGCTGCGGAAAGCAGCAAGCAGTTCTGGAAGCGGAGCGCGAAGCTACCGGGCAGGTGAGTAAAGGAGGCTCCGTCCGGGCATCGATGCCGACCGATCGTTTGTTCCCCGGGGAGCAAAGGTTGACTTAGTGAAGCCGGCTTGGCTCCTAGCTTTTGTCGACCTTCATTTCTCGGAAGTGCGGTGTAGGGTCGAGCCTCTGCTCTTCAAGCGAATAGTTGCTTCAGTCAGTCACTTCTGTCGATGGAGGAAGAAGAGGAGGAAAAGAGGGAAGTGGGAGAACCCTGGAGGTGGTCTGAAGCGGGATATCCCCTTGCCTAGCATCGAGGGCAAGAGTTGGATCTTTCCAGCTGTGGGGCCGTCTCTCTTCATCTGCATCATCCCGCGGTCCTGTCCCCTTTTGCCACTCGGAGATGTGACGCCCAGTCTTTTAATCAGAGTGGTGGAGCAACTAATTGCTCGGCTCTCAGGTTCCAAACCCGCCTCCAGGAATACGATGCCCTGGGTCACCTCTGCCTTGCGGGCCGCGCTAATGGTTAGGGGTCAATCGGTCGAGGTAGCGCTTTGGACAGGTGCAGAGCGTGCCGCTTTCCCCAAGAAAGTGAAGCCGCCCGCGCCTTCATTGGTGTAGGCTGATCGGTTTGCATCTGTGTAATGTTTACTAGGCCTATGCTTTTTGCGGAGAGTTCCTGTTAAAGTTGAAATAAAAACCCCAGCCATGCTTAAACCGAACGAATGTGTTAGGCCGGCAGTAGAGCAATGATTGAAAACTTTTCCCTATCATCGGCCCAGAGAGTCCTCCGGGAGAACTTCCATAACACAAGGCTGGAGCAGAAGACTCGAATTTTCAATTTTCTTAGAAAGTTATTCCATTTTTAAAGATGCAACGGGCTTCTGTTGTAATCCCTCACCCATAAAACTTAAGCGAGAAGCTCTAATATTTGAATCATAAGGAGTTAGAGGGATTTTTGTCCCCCTACTTTTCTTTCTCCTCCCATAAGCTCTGTGTGTAAGGAGTGCTGAACAAACATACTGTAGGTTTCTGTTATCTTCTTCAAACTAATGTCTTACTAGCAAAATTTGAACTCTTGTTAAAATTTATGCATGCATAAACTTTCAGCTCTTCCCATATAAAATCATATTCTTGACCATCTTTTTCTTAACTTTCTCCCATACTACTTGGGTGTGGAGAAACTTGAGCATCAGCAGTGGAATATTTTCCAATATTCCATAATTTTGGAATATTCCAATATTTTCTCCTTAATTATATCATTTAGATGGTGAGTTTTGATTAGATTGCTCCCTTTTACCAATTAAATGTGAGAAAACTACACTTTTGTTTTTGCAATCTTAAAGGAATTAAAAAATAATAAATTGACACAATCAGAAATAAATATGCCACTGAGAAAAATGTACGGAAACTAAGTAGCAGTCTTCATGGATAGCAATTTGGGGCAAAAGCTGTATAGTTCAGAGACTGGTCCTCTAACCTCATCTTGACCATGTAACTACCACTGTAAGGTATCTGGAATGCTTTGCTAGCTTTCAGTTCTATCCAAGTAGGTAATTCTTGTTTCTATATTTACGACTCTAGTTTCTCTGGCTATGAGAATACTTGGATAGTTCAGAAGTCTAGGAACATTGCAAACAAATGTTGTATAAGATGTGTGTTTGAAAAGAAAGAGACAATATTTTTGCAAGTGCAGTAACACCTATTTGTTTTGGATATCTTATTATAATGCCACATCCTTTGCATATAATTCTGCCTTTCTGTGAAACAGCTTTCATCTGTAGTTGTTTTAAACAGTAAAGTTGACTCAACCAGCTAAACTGGTTTGGGAAAGGCAAATGAGCCAATTTGAACCTGAGCTAACCAGTAAATATAAACTTCTTCCATTTTTGGTGTGAGTACTTTGCAACATCATCAATGCTGTGATATCTCACACCAGCAGAAGAGAGTGCAAGGTTTCCCCTTTATTGTTTTATGAAGCTCTGAAGCTTGATAATTTTTATCAGATAATAGTTGGTTTTACAGGATTTCCGAACATGGCTATCTTATTCCTCCTAGAGTTGTATAATGTAAATGTGCATAAATTGTTTATAATACACACAGTTTGCAATTTTGTATATATGTTATGTATGGGCTAGAAAAAAAATGAGCATATGATCTGTTCCAGAACCAGGCAGCTAGTTTCAGACTAAGCAGGAAAAAAAAAATCACTTGGCATACATATAGCTCTGTCAGCTGGCTTCTGTTAAATCTACTAAAAGGGATAAAAGATATTTTGATTTGGGCCAGAATATCGTGGAAATTAGCAAAGAGTTGCTTATTAAAATGGGAAATCACTTCCACGTGACTTCTTGGCACCAAGTAAAGGAAAGGTGTTTACAATGGATTGTCAATTCTGTTATTGCTTTTCCTTGTAGCTGGATAGTTTTATTAAGAATGCTTACTGAATTGGTCCTTAAAATGTCTGCATAGTTTTGCCATTATACTCCTCTGTTTCAGTGTGTTAAACTCTAGATAAAATAAACTAAACCTGTGGGGGGCTTACCGTTATCATACTCAGTTGTATATCTCTGACTCTGTCTATCCAAATGAAACTGTTAAAAGTCTCTGGAAACTGCTGAGGATCTGGATAGGGAAAAATAGGTTGTTGGTTTCTATTATTTCAAACATACTGTAGGTTTTGCATGAATCCTGCCATGGTGGAGCGGTTATGGATTCTGGATCTGGGTGTTTCCATCTTCATTCTAGACTAGGTTGACACTGCCCCATTCAAACGATGTGCAACCTGGAGGCCTTTCTGGACTCAAACTCTTGTCCTAAGAGCAGGTAGCAGCAGTAGCCCAGAGGGCCTTTGGACAACTATGTTTGGTATACCAGTTGCATTCATTCCAGGACTAGGAGCCCTTGTTTCATGCTCATTCACACTTTAGTCACCTCTCAATTAGACTACTGCGACATATGGGACTACTCTTGAAGACCATCTGGAAGTTCAATTGCAATAGCACAGGGAGTTATAGGTGCAGTTCATTTTGCCCATATAACACCACTATCCATAAACTGCACTTGCCCCTAATAGGCTCCTGGTTTTGATTCAAGATACTGACTTACTTGCAGGATTGTCTTCTTCCAAGAACATCTATCCATTCCACATGCCTCCATAGGGAGAGCATGCTCCAAGTTCCCGCTTTTAAACTTTCCCATCTCACAGGATTTGCATGCCTTTTTTTAGGGCTGTATTCTCTGGAACAATCCTTCTCCCAATATACAACAGAACCCAATTCTTTTGCCTTAAAAAAGCAGTTAAGATCTGCCCCCCTCCCTTGGGGAGGCTTTTGGGGTCCAGTTAAGTAGAATCCTTTTCTGATTGCTTAATTATCGAATTAGGTCATCATTTTTCTTTTATGTACTAGTTTTTTATGTTATGTTGGAGTTGGGGTGGGGGTTTTTTTTGTTTTGTTTTTTATATTGCCCAAACATACATTGTTTGAATTTTGTAACCCTATATGTCCAATAAATAAATGCAAATAAAGAAATAAGTTTTCTTTATGAAATGAGCATTTGTATTTCTTAAGTAGTAGTATCTTACTGGAGCAAAAGCAGAACTGCATAAAATATTTCTTTTTAAAAGAGAATAAGAAACCTTATTTACAGATTACAAAATTTCCACACTAATTTCACACATCATATTAAGTCAGGTTTTGTTAAACCTGTGGTTTATTTAATAAGCCATAATGGTCTGGTTCTCATGTAATCAAGGCCAAAGTGGTGTTTTTTTTAAAATTCTTTAAACTATTTCTGTAACACTTCTAATGGTGAAAGGCAAGAATCACACATTCGTTGCTCAGAACAACCATATTATGTTTAATATAAAACACCAAACTCAGCCCTCTAATATTATGACTGGGGTTGAAGACTTATTCTGCATTTAATTCTGAACTTTTCACAACCCCACTCTTAATTTCATGTTACCATAGCACTGGCATGTCAAACTCGTGATGTCACGTGACATCGTGCGATGTATTGGGACTTATTCCCTATTGCCAGCAATGGGGTGGGCGCAGTTTCGGCGTGACACATCTGGCCTGCAGGCCAGCAGTTTGACATGCCTGCCATAGCAGTTCAAAAGAAATATCTGTCCTCCTCTTAAAAGAACTACCCTTCAGCTCTGAATTATTATGAAACATTGAGGATGCTGAAGTTGTTTCTGTGGTTATTTCCAAAGCCAGTGCTGTTTATTGCACTAGACTAGAGCAGGGCTTTTCAACCTTTTCACTCATTGTACCACTTTAGGATATGGCAATATCTGAGTCACCTAGCAAGGGGTCGCCTAGCAAGGGGTCAAAAACTTGATGACCCCCTCAAAAGGAAAAAAGTGATAAAGTACAGGTAGTCCTTGACTTACAACAGTTCACTTAGTGACTGTTCGAAGTTACAATGGCACTGAAAAAAGTGCCCCCCAAGCCACAGCCGACCAAGACATCTGCCTGCCCATCCAGCCGCGCTCTTCCTCCTGTGAGGTTTTCATTGTTGTGAGCATTTTT